GAAGGAATCAGACAAAAAGTGTCAGACGGAGCCACTGCAAATGGAAGTTCCTTTTGTTTTTTTCTGAGAAGTTTCAGTCTAAATGGTGAATTAATATATCCCTATGTATAAAAATGGAAAGGTGTTCTAGCAACAGCTTTATGTGTTAGCAATGGCAATGGTACAGGACGAGAGAATACTGAAGTGTGACTCCCAGGAAGAGGTAAACTGCAAAAGTGATATATTTTGCACGGCCAGTAACTCTTACCAGTTTTAGCAACTTGATCTCAAGTGCACAAATACAAGAATGAAGTCTGAGAGCAGGCTGCTGGCTCTAGTCTTTGGGCCCTCGACAGGGGAGCGTGACGCCATTCCGAACCACCCGCAGGCAGCCTCTTGCGCAGGAGTGTTGGCACATCCCCGAAACCCCTCGCAGCATCGCTTGTGGGCAGGTGGCTCCGCAGGTTGCTGGGGGCAGGGGCTGCTTCCCGTTCTGGAAGGGGGTCAGTTGGAGCTCCAGGCAGAACTGCATGTAGCAGAGCTGATAGATAAAAGCGAGGCTTTGGCCGGAATCGCTCGGCTGTGAGCATCCTTCCTCCCAGAAACCACCAGATGCATCCTGCCGGGTCAGGTGTGAAGGGTGGGTGACAGAACTAACTGTGGGTGTCACCCGGGGAATGTAGGAAATTCAGGAGGGCGGCCACCCTCCTTCCCTCGGGAGCACACGGATGGCAGCGCAGCGCTTTGTCCTTTCCTGTTGTGTATCAGTGGAGGGCTGGTTTGGATCGGAATGCCCAAGTGGGTGGAGAACTTCACTCCATGAAAAATAAGGGCTTTATTTAAAAGAAATAGGTGCAAATACCTAGAGGAACAAGCAAAGGCAGCAATGTTATTTTTGTATGATTGCGACCAGCTGAATACCAGTTGGTGTTGCATGCTAGCCTGGGCCGAAGCTGTGGGCTCTGCTGTTGCAGCAGTACTTTCTCGGGGCTCCAGCTTGTGATGTGCGGCGAGATCCCAGCTGAAGCTGCTCCAGTACGGGCGCAGAGCTGAACGCTGGACTGTCACTGCGTGCCGTCGGAGATAACGCTGTCGCAGGGAGAAGGCAAGCAGAGACAGTCCCATTTCGCTCAGAATTAACACTAGTGCTATTTAGTCCTGTTAGGATCTCGCATACATATGCTGAGTAAAGTTATAATACGAAGTTGCTACTTTACATTAATGCAATTTTACACCACGTATTCTTATATTCTTATGAGTATTCTTATTCATATTCCTATTTAATTATGCAAATGTTAGGACTTACGATTCATCAATATGGAGACCTCAAAGTTATCTTCTTTTTTCGCGCTTGTTTTGCCCCCAGAAAGGAAATGTTATGATAAATCAGAACAAACCCAACCTCTTGGACTGTTTCAGCACTGGGCAGGGACAATCAATAGAAAACACAGGACAGAACCTTGCATTAGCCAGTGATACAGTAACCCCCCAGCTAGATTTTTTTTCTTTTTCATTTTTTTTGTGTAAAATTCTCAGTTTACATTACAGAAAAAGGAAGACCTGTTTAGTTTCTTAACATGAAAAGATCACGTTTCATTATGCATTTCATTGTCTGATGAAACATTATCATAAGAGATAATTACTTGCCATATCAGTACATCTTGTTACCACAACCTGCAGTTTGGAGCCAATTTCAAAGATTGTTTCTCCATAAAAATCCTAAGTACGTACTGAATTTTTTTAGCTTCACTGTAGAAGACTCTAGAATTGTTGGCTAGTTTTCACTGCTTAATTGTTTTATGCATACTTTCTCCAAAATGAACCGTTTTCAGCCATGGGATGTAGCTGTATCTTGTCTCTTCAATGGACTTCTTTTGTAGAAGACCAGGGCAGCTACTGCACACACATGTAACTATATATTTACACCAATGCCATCTGTTTAGATGGCAGACTAATAGGATTAAAGTTAATGCAAAGTTCTGTTCTCCTGAACTGATTTTGGTTTGGGGATATATTACAGATTTTCATTCTTTTATGTGGCAGGCTTTTATAAAATCCTTTGTAGGGTTTAGGATGTTGAGCTGTATCACAGCAGCCAAAATTCTTTTGTTTTCATAATCATAAAAATATTTAACATTTCCTATGGGTTTATTCTTTCAATCCCAGTATTGTACAAATTAAAATAACTTAGATACCACAATAATGCTATGAGGTAGGCTTTTAAATACCGAAGATTGAAAAGCTCAATGACATAATTTAATCAAATTCCCTGCAAAATAATTATGATTTTCCCTCCGCCTCTGTGTGGAAACTGAGCCACAAAAAAATTGAATCTCAAATGTATTAGGGTGTGCCTCACATTGAGTACTTTATGTTTGAAGTGCCTTGTTGAAACAGACAGTTGTAAGGCTCAGAGTGCTCCCAGTAAAGTTGCTGGAGTCACAGATGCTCATCATCCACAAAAGCTCATGCCAAGTGTCGAAGGCTGGCATCCAAAAGGAGACTCACCAGCAGCGAACGTTCTTATGAAATGGAAGCCACACCTTCTGTCCTCTCTGTGCTGTTCCACATCTATAATGAGGTGGCAATGGTTTCCATAGGGTGTAAGAGATGTTACTTCCTTGGTCTCCTTCGGTCCACAACTTTCTGTGTCCTATAGATGTCCTCTGCACTTGGTCAGCCAGCCTTGTTAGGGTGATGAATATGTGGTTTCCTTCTGTCTGGTAATAGCTTTTTTGGCAGAGCTTGTTGATATTGGAAATTGTTTTTGTAGACTTGCTGAATACATTAGCGCACAATGAACGCATCCCAGCAGCAAGACTTTAAGATCTAATGGTGTTTTTCTCCCTTTTAGCGGTTTTACATTTGCATCAATTACAGCTACCATCCACCTCAAACCCCAGGCTGAGTGCTCAGGAAACATTTGTACATCCATAAAATCCCAGAAGATAAAAGCATCTTCCCCAGAACCGTTTATCTAAATTTGTCTGTAAACAAAAACTGTGAACAGGCAAGTTAGGTGTCCTTCCAGTCCTTCAGGATGTGGAACACTCTCCAGTCCCACTGAAATCAGCAGAAGCTGAGGACGTTCAGAATGCCAGGGTTATTCTTCTTGCCGCGTCCCGTGGCACTTCACGTTAGCCAGCATTTATATCTACCTCCAACAGCCAGTCTCCACTGGATCGGTGGTTATTGCTGCTCGACTGGCAGAGCTGCAGGTCTCTCTGAGAAAGGAAATGGAAGTCCTTGGAGGGCAGCTGCAATTCTGGAAAAGGACTGTAGAGAGGGACTGAGTAGGGGGTCCTTTTTTATTCCAGCAAAGCTAGAATTTTTCAGCCAGAGTTAGGATTTTCTTTGAAAGAAATACATTACACTGCACCACTAAAACCACTACAAATAAAACACATTAGAGCCTAATTATTTTGCAGGTTTCTTGATAAGTGATTTTATTATCTTAAAGTTCAGACCCTTCATGTGCAAAGGCCATAAAGAAAGGTGGCTTTCAATGAAGAATGATAGCTAAAGAACAGTTACCTAAATTCCTCACTAATTCCTTTAATCTAAGACATGGTAACTCTTCCCTAGATATGTCAGGAGTAATAGTTTCTTCAAGTAATAGATCCCTCCCTGGGCTGTTGGATTTCTAGTCTTCTGAGTCTAGCATCTTAGTTATTACTGAATTTTATTCTTATTTTCCATCAATACAAAATTTTCTTTGAAAATGCTGTCTGCGAGGTAAAATGTGACACCAAGAGGTAATGAGTATACTGTGAGTCGTACTAATGCACTTTACCCCGGGTTGAAAGGAACGGCCAGCGGAGGCTGCGTGTACACCAGCGCAAAGCTTCTGAATGGGAAAAAATCTCTGGTGCAAAAATCTCTGGTGGAGCCTTGAAAGCTCACACCGAGAAGATGAGCTCAACTTCTCATGAAGATGCATTATCATGTTCTCAAACACTTGTTTGAATGGCTTGGGGTATTATGCTTATTAAATGCTATCTATCTGCTCCCTTTTGATGGACTTGAGTCCCCTCTGGACTAACTGGTCATCTGCAGAAACCTCTGGAAGTACAAGTGAACCAAATTCAGAGATCATATAGGTGCCAGCAGCCCACTTCAAAATACGTAGCTCTGTTCGGCCTCACAGTTCTTACGCATTTAAGTCTGTCCTGATTTATGCTGGCATGTGAGAATCATCCTTTGTTTGCTGACGTACATATAGATATAACAAGAAACACATGTTGTAACTTGAATTTTCTAATTGGATGTGGATGTCTGCTGGTTCTTAAATGGACAATAAATAGAGTTTAAATGATCTGTTTGATCACAATTCAGAACTGCCCCAAGAACATAACCTAAAATACAGCTGGGGTAGATTCATGTGTCAAATAAAAACAGAATGCTCACAGGAGAAATGATCTGCTGCTGATACTGATTTTCAGCAAAAGACATGAATAAACTTCTCCTCAAAGGCCGCTGAAAACAATTCTAGTTTGTGTAAAGGCATTGCCAAGAGCCTTCTTAGAAGCAGACTGAGGCTTATGGGAAATATGTGCTGTTTCTTCTCGCCTCTGCTCCTAATTTTATTCTAACTGCTGGCTGAGATACTGTTAAAATAATGAAAAAGAAGAAGAAGCAACCATTAAAGCTCTTGAGCCATTTGCCATGAGATAGATATAACCCTGAGACTCACGGGAGTATTAAAATTATAATGATAAAGTAATACCGATGCTGAGGAACATTTTAGAAATAAGCAATCAGACAGCAGGTTAATACAACACGAACCTCCATCACCCTCGTCTTGCCACCACGCCTCCCTGTAAATGGATCAGACAATTCGACCAGTTGAATATTAAGAGTTTTAATGGCAAGACGGTGCAATTCCCTTTCATAAACGAGGGGGTGAGATACATACTTTTAGTCTGGCGAAACGTGATGAAAAACTACAGGTTCACTATAAAGCTGAGATTTCTGTCTGCTCTTCTTCTGAACTGATCTCTGGTAATTATTCTTGTTTGCAGCCTCTGGCCTCTCCTCTTCTCCATCTACCCCAACTCAAGTGACCAAGCAGCCCACATTTCCTCTTGAATCCTATAAGCATGAGCCTGAGAGGCTAGAAACACGGATTCACTGTTCTTCTCCTCCGGACACAGGGCAGAGATTTTCTTTGCCTCCATCTCAAAGTGCCGCCAAGCCTCCTATCATGTCACCAGCTCCCTGTGCTACCTCAAAACCAGTAAGTAAAGTGTATGTCCAGTTTACCACTGGGAAATGTACAGGGCTGTGTGTAACTGTTTCTTGTATTACAACCGATGAGCTGGAACCTGTGTGTCCGTACTGTCGAACAGAACGAGAACAATGTCATGGGCCTTTTACTGCAGGCTTGTCTCAGCTTCCCCAGTATTCAGCTGACAAGGCACTGGGAATCCAAAGGTGGAAGCTCCCCTTCTGGCTTACCCAGATAGCAACTAGTTTTTGCCCTCTTCTCAAGCGAGTTTTGCTGTGGCTACAGATCCCAGCATAGGCTGCTGAGATGTCACCTTAGAGAAGGATAAAATTTTATTTAGGATTGTCTTTTATCTCCCTTAGGAAGAGCTGATGAGATAGCTAGCAGCCAAGGAGAGCATATCAAAAAGAAATTCACAGTATGAGCTGCAGGGGTTCTGAGTTCCTGCTGCCGCTGGAGTCCGAGATGGCTGGGACGGCTGGTGACTAACGGCACTAGCTGCTATCACGCCTCCTGCCCCAGCTCAGAGGGTAGAGCAGGAAGGGCAGCACTGCCAGGGTGTATTTATCCAGCCCCCAATGTGTCTTCGTAAGAGTGGTGTCTGCATAAGAGTGGTTTATTTATCTCTGGGAATGCATGAACTCAGCAGTTCCTGGGAATACAGGAATTCCAGCCTCTGACACTCTCCACCGCAACATCAGCACTGCGTGCTGTTGTGCCTCCTCCCCTCGGCCAGCCTGAGCCTCAGAGGCATCGCTCTTCTTCTCTTTTCTCCTCTGCCTTTTTGCCCCGTCCTTCTTTTTTGTGTTAATTCCTTTGCATTTACTGTATCTTTCTGTTCACGGTTCCCCTGCCTCATGGAACTAGCAGACTGTGATCAGAATTAACTACATGTAATCAGAGTTAACTACCCTGCATTTGTCTTTCCCAGCTTTTCTTCTTCCCTTCCCCTCCCCGAATATAAAATCTTTTACGTTTTCTATACCTAGAAATCTAGATTTCTAAAGGACATAAAGTCTGTTTCCCTGTCGAACAGCTACAAGTTCTGTATCACAGAATCACAGAATCACAGAATAGTAGGGGTTGGAAGGGACCTCTGTGGGTCATCTAGTCCAACCCCCCCGCCGAAGCAGGGTCACCTACAGCAGGCTGCTGTAGTTCTGTTTCATTCCAGTTCTTAGTAATTTATTTAAAAGTAGGAAGTTTCCTCCCACTTGCCCATGGGAAAGCTGTTCCAGGATCTGAATACGCTAACACAGCAATCCCCAACCCTTTTTTTTTCGTGTTAGGTACCTCCACAGCAGCAGCAGCCGTTGTTTTGCTGGAAGTGTTTAGGTACTGCATCAGCGTTCACATACTACTTTCCAGTCGTTCACACACATCCAGTAAAACACATGCCCTGTTTTGGGGACCCTTTCTGGGTAATGGTTAGGAAGTCTCTGATGTTCAACCTAATTTTTTTCATGGACAGGTTATGACCGTTTGCTCTTATAATTAATAGTCATTTTCATTCATTGTTTGTTACATCCTGTTGTACCTGTAGCCAACCTTTGTTTTTCTAAATTAAGCAAGCCAAACTCTTCCTGCAAAATGCAGACTTTCTGTTCTGCTGCTACCCAACAGTAAATAATTAAAGTATTAAATAAAAGAAATCCTACATTTGTAGTTGGGGTACTCCAGCAGTAACTCTTCTCCAGCCAACTCATTGCCTTTCCTTGTAAGTAGTAGTCTTGGGATACATAAATTATGAAACTCAAAGGCTTGTAGGACACAAAACTATTTTCAGTAGGTTTCAGTCAGTCATATTGTTTGCATATGAATGTGTTTATCTGCATTATGCAACTACAGAAGAGTCTTTTGTACCTGTTAGAAGTGGGGAAACAACAGAAATTTAGCACATTCCACTGACCAAAAGACTCACAAGTTTGTTTTTAATTATTTGCTGATTCGGACACTATGAAATTGAGTCGAAGATGCCAGAATAAAGAAACAGAATTCTCAGCAAGTACTTAACAGCTGTTATGGTTGTATATATGTACACGAGAGAGTCTGGATGGGAACTCAGTATGTTGGACTTGGTTATCTCCTGTTCAGAAGATACAGAAATACATAGGATGTATAGCACCGCATTGTCTTTGGTTTGTACCCTCTGTATCTGAGAACCGGGAGTGTGCAGGGCTGTCAGTGAACTATTATTTTTTTGGTTTACTTGGAAACAAATGTCAGCAGCTACAGATCTGTGAGGAATGAAGCCCTGGATGCTTCATTTTCAACAGAGATCAGGGAGAGAGATTTCCTATGCTCTTCTAGTAGGAGAAACTGTTAGAGGAGAGAAAGGCTAAGGTTCTGCAGAAGGGCGTGAATCTGAAGCTGGTGGGTGTTCACTCAGGACTGTTCTGTCTTTCGAGCCCTGTAAGTTACTGACCTAGCAATCCTTTACAAATACGATAGCAGTAGACCAACATTCTTGATTTGAGTACTGTGTTTCAAACATTTCATTTATTCTGAGCTGTGTTAATAAATACATGTTTTTACAATGCACATGCTATAAACAAATCTGTAAACGGCAAACTCAATTTCTCATTTACTTAGATCATGATTTCTTGGCATAACAACTCCAATTAGCTTAAAAACACACTTTAAATTATGTGATAAATGGTTTCATAGCGGCCATGCCGTTAGATGATTAGTTTAATGACAGGGAAGCTTCTATGGTGACATCTGAAATGAGAAGTTGACTCTTATCTAGAGGGCTCTGTCAACTTCAATCTCATTTACATATTATATTGTTTAACTAGTGATGAAAGTGTGTGAGATCCCAGAACTATTATAAATTATTCATGATTGCTATATATATTGCAGTAGCAAAGAGAAACCCTTGGACCTAGAGCCGGAAGTACTATTAAAAAAACCCCACAGAACAGCAGATAATTATAGGAAGGTGCAGTATCAGGACTTGGAACAACTCTTAGCCCATTTTTACAATTAACTGCATTTGAAGCTGATTGTGTACTTGGTTTTTATATGTCTGAGACTGTGGCATAGAACGGTTAAATCTGTTCAGTAGGAGAGAAGGCATGAAGGAAAGAATTAAAATATTTATTTTCCAGCAGATGTAATCAAAACTTTTCATGTTTTAGTAGCACTTAGGACAGTGTATATTTTAATGTGATTTTTAAGCCTTAGATTCTGGCGAGGGGAATAAATAGTGGGAGACAGTTTCTAACAGAGGGAGATTCTCCTTCAGCGAGTAACATCTCAACACAGTATACAAACGTAAGCAGTTAACCTCATGCTAAATGGATGTCTGTGCTGATCACTAAGGTCTGGGTTTATCCCCCCTAACTTTAGAAACCCATCTGAGCCGCTTAAGTTGGGAGCGTAGTAGCTCTAGTTGTCTCTGTATCCCACAGAGAGGCATGTGCAGGGCATGAATCAGATCTCCAGTGGGCTGAACAGCCTTTGGCGCTGATTATCAAGGGACTAACTCCAGGTGTTGCATTTCTAACTGAGGCACTTCTGTCAGGGCCCCAAAGCTAGATGAGAGGAGGCAGCGACACACCATTGCAGCAGCTCTCACAGGCTTTCCTCTGGCTGTGCAGGTGTTCCTAGTGGTTGAGTTGGAAGGCTGTAATGAGAAATTCAGCTGATAAGAGATCAAAGTTATACCAGAAGATTACTGTGCACCGCATTAAATGGGGAAGGAGCAATTTGATTTTTCGCAGTACAGTTCATGACTCTGTACTTTGGCCTTGTGTTGTTTGGACTGTGTAACCTTCAGGCAGTAAGTGGTAAATGATAACTCTTCACTAATGTGACATTACTAACCACGAAAGGAATGTAGAGAGGTTGCAAATTCAATAATGAACATGTTTGCCCTGTTTCCGCTTTGCCTGCATTTTAAAGTGGAATGTAGTATGTTGAGCTTAATGTGGTTGTATCCTTTTCATTTCGTCCTTTCTTCTTCCACTGGTGCATAAGGCACTGTGAAAACAGCAGTATTCCCTGACTCCTGCAAACACAAGCATTTTTGTGGTACATCATTTCCAGGCCTTTATGGGTTTTCCCCTTTCCTGGCATGAGAAGAGTCCAGGCCAGAGAAAGAAGGTGCTAGCTCCAAACTGAGGAGTTGCCTTTGAGTTATCTTTTGGTGAAAAACAGAGTTGGGGCTTCCTCTGCTCAGAAGAAGTGACAAAGGCAGAACATGCTTACAAACGGCCCTTTCCATATGGTTGTGTAGTTCACCACTGCTCTCCAAGTAACTTCTGAGCCAAGTAGTTTCCCTGAACTTTCTTAAAAAGAGGACATCTCAGCCAGAAGGTAGTCTGAGATTTACTTAAGCTTGTGTGAACAAGTCCTGTTAAAACTGCAGATACAGCATGCAGGAAGAACCGAGAGAGTCCAGTCTGCATTGATTTTACACAGTCCTTGCTGCTCCAGCATACGGAAGAGGAGAGATGTAACGTACAGCTGGGACTCTCTCTTCCAGTCCTAGATACAGAGGGGGAAACAAGATTGTTTTTGCAGCTATCTGCTTGTTAAACAGTAGCACTTCCCTGCAAGGCTATTCATGCTGTTTCTTAGCCAAAATGTAGTAAACTCAAAAACAGGGCTGTTAACTTGTTCAGCATGAAGGACTATTACATCACGCCCTGCTGCTGGCAAGGAGCCTGGGAACCAGGTTATGTGCAGCAGGTCCTTCAGTTTGGCTCTCGCCAAAAAGCCATGCCACCTATCAGAGCTCCATAATCTAGCTGGCTCATTAAAGAGATTTAAATCTGATGAAGAGAACGGGGCGGCGGGGGGGGGAGCACAGGCTGGGAAAAAAGGATTCCAGTGTGCAAATGTACAAGAACTCCCTATTTCAGCATTCATGTGGTTTAAGGCAATATACTAGAGTGCCAAGGACATTACTGTGATTCATCTTTGATTTACACTACAGTAAACTGATCACAGAAATTAGAGCCAGGAAGGCTGTCATTTGCCAGCGAAGAAAGCTCTTGCAGTGT